CACATCTCCCCACATCTCCCCATCTCTCCCCATCTCTCCCCATCTCTCCCCATCTCTCCCCACATCTCCCCACATCTCCCCATCTCTCCCCATATCTCCCCATATCTCCCCATATCTCCCCATATCTCCCCATCTCTCCCCATCTCTCCAGGTCCTCGTCTCCAACCTCGGCCTCGCCTTCATCGCGCACTACAACGCGCCCGCCTTCTACATGGACCTCGAGGCCCGCTTCAAATAGTAGTAGCAGCGGCAGCAGCAGCAGCAGCGGCAACAGCAGCAGCAGCAGGATCAGCAGGATCAGCAGCAGCAGCAGCAGCAGCAGGATCAGCAGCGGCGCAGTGGGGGGGGGGGGGGCGCGATAGGAATAAGAACAACAACAACACACTAATAATAACACCCGTCTTCAATGGACCTGTAGGCCCGTTCCCCGGCCAAGTTTGCGCGCGCCGTCGCCATCGCCTTTGGCGTGCTCACCGTCCTCTACACGGCGATGATGGGCTTCGGCTACGCAACGTTTGGCGACCACGCCGCCTCGTACCTGCCGCTAGATGCGGACTCTCCCCGCACCTCCCCATATCTCCCCACGTCTCCCCACGTCTCACCACATCTCCCCGCATCTCCCCATATCTCCCTGCAGGAACCTCCTCCTCAACTACGCCTCCTCGGACCCTCTCGCCATCGTCGGCCGCCTCGCCACCGGCGCTCTCCCCATATCTCCCCATATCTCCCCATATCTCCCCGTATCTCCCCATATCTCCCCATATCTCATCTCCCCATACCTCCCCATAGCTCTCCACATCGTCGGCCGCCTCGCCACCGCCGCCCCGACCCCCGCCCTCTGCTCCCGCCCTATCTCCCGCCCCATCTCCCCGCCGTCTCGACCAATCTCACCCGCAGGCGCCTCGGTCCTGTTCGGCTAATCTCCCGCCCCATCTCCCCCCATCTCCCCGCATCTCCCGCCCCATCTCCCCCCGCAGGCGCCTCGATCCTCTTCGGCTACCCCCTCGCTATGGTCGGGCTGCGCTCTGCCCTCGTCGGCATATCCTCCTCCCTGCCGGCCGAGCTATGGGGAGCTATGGGGAGATGTGGGGAGGTTCGTTACTCAGGCATGTCCTCCTCCCTGTCGGCCGAGCCCGCGCTGCCCGCCGCCGCGCGGCGCGCCTCGGTCTCCCCGGCCCGTGCAGTGATGAGTCTCAGTTGACAGCTGGACTACTTAATGACTCCTAGGCGCGCCTTGGCCTCCCCGGCCCACTCGTCCTATACATGACTCATTTGACGTGAGGAATGAATCAATCCTAGGCGCGCCTCCGCCTCCCGGCCGACTCCTCCCACTGACTGCCCCTTGCTTAGTTTTGAATGGAGCACACAGGCGCGCCTTCCGCAGCCTGGCGGCCGACGCGTCGCGCGTGCCGCTGATCGTGGCGCTGCTGGCCGTCATTACTGCGGTGGCGTGCGCCGTCGAGGACAGCGGCGGGTGCGTCGGTGGGTGCGTCCTTCCAGCGGTCGGTGAAGGGGGGTGCATGCGTGTTAGGACATCGGCGTCGTTGTCGGCGTGTCGGGGGCGCTCCTCGGCGCCGCCATCGCCCACTGCTACCCGCCCCACACCTCGCCGGCGTCAGACTGCCCCCCGAACCTTCCCTGAACCTTCCTGCAGGCGCCGCCATCGTCTACTGCTTCCCGCCCCTCATCTACGGGCGCGCGCGCGGCGCGTCGACGCCGCAGGCCGTGTACGGCCTTATCCCGCTCGGCGCCTTTCTGGGTGTGCTTGGCACCTACGTCACGCTGCGCGGGTGAGGAGGGGGAGGACCGGGGGAGGAGGGGCAGGCGTGGGCGAGGAGGAGGGGAGAGGCCGGGCGCCGGGCTGGGCCGCGACAATACGCAGGTCCGCTCGGGGCAATACGCATGATCAATTCGGCGCGGTTGTTGTGTCTCTGAGACTGGCATGCTCGCGCAGTATAACAAGGGCGTGTGGCTGTGAGTGTGACCGCCATAGCGGCGCGCCGCGCAGCGCGCAGAGACTATTGTGTGTTCTGTGTACCCGGGCTACCCCGGGGCTCTGGGACAGGAGTCAGGCAGTGCTGCGAGTATCTAGACACAGTTTTCATTCACGGTATGAAAAAGTGGGTGAGGCCCCGCGAGGCAGCCCGCGCCGCGGTGCGCGGAGAGCGCGCTGCATCCGCTCTACTGAGTGTACCGCTGGTACCGCTGAGCGCTGGGTCACGGTGTACGGGCTAGAGAGCCAACCCTGTCTATACGTCGAGCTAGACGACGTCGACTGTCATGGCATGGATCAGATTCAGAACGTGGCACAGTTCATGTGCGAACGTTGGTCGGTGGATGCTAAGATCGCGCGAATCGGCGTCGCGAGCGGGTGTGTGTGAGAGAGTGCCTGCGGGGGCCTGCTATCTCTACCCGTCTCTCTGTAGCATTCCACAGGCACGAGAGCGGAGGAGTGAACGAGAGCCTGCGCCGCCGCCGCCGCCTAGCCGCCACCCCTCAGTACGGCACCAGGGCCATCGCTCGCTCCACGTCGGCCGGGTCTCGCGGGGTGACGCCCTCGGTCGTGATCTCCTCGAGGTTGAAGCCAATCATGCTGAGCGGCGTGCTCTTCTTCACCTTGCCGGTGATCTCCAGCGTGCCGCCATTCTCGACCATGCGCGCCTTCTCGAGCCGCAGGTCGTTCCCGACGTAAAAGTCGACCGCGCTGCCGCCGTTGGGCCGGAGCGTCACGACGTCGCCGTCCACGTCTGTGAAGCGCACGTCGAGCGGCGAGAGTTTGAGCTCCTGGGCAAACGGGCTTGGGAGCGCGGGCAGCTCGAGCTTGAACTCTGGCCGCTCGGCGCGAGGTGGCGCCACGAAGCCTCCGACCGTTGGCGGAGCGGAGGGTGACTGCTCATCCTCGTTGCCGCCAAACGGGTTGGGCAGCTTGGGCATGCTGAACTGCATCCGTGCCGCCGCACGCGGGACGGTGTGGTGAGAGCCGCCAACGGCAAGGAAGGTGGAGCTGGCAGCGACGACGAGGTGCAGCATGGCAGGGTTCGCGTCGAGGAGGTGCGGAGCTGTGCAAGAGAGCAGTACAGAGTCCGCGGCGAGAGCAATTCGGTTTCGGCTTTGAGAAAAGAATTCTACACGAAGCCCCTCTCACAGCAGAAAAGGCACAGCTGAGAAAAGAATTTGGAGAACCCAACATCATCGGCACTCAGAAAAAGAATTCGTCGTGCAATGGCGCCCGCTCGCGCGAAGCGGGCCAGAGCGCCTGAGCGCCTCGTGCTGATCCCGGACTCTCAAGAACAGCACGACTGGCTACAAGAACGTGACCTTCAACCGCTGCAGAAAGAAGTACGTGGTGCAAGTGCAGGATGACGGCAAGCGTGTCCACCTCGGCTGCTTCGCCACCGCCGAAGAGGCGGCCGTCGCCTACGCTCGCTCGGAGTACGGCCGCGCCGACGCCGCCAAGCTGCTGCAGCCCCGCTCTGCTCCCACTGCCGCTAGCGCCGAGGCAGTCCGGCAGGCGGAGAGGGAGGACCTGACTCTCACCGCCAGCAGCGACAGCAACAGCGGATACAAAGGCATCCGCTACTGCCCGAAGCGAGGCAGCAAGAAGTACCAGCTTGAGGTGACGAGTGGCGGCAAGCAAGTCTTCCTCGGCATGTTCGCCACCGCCGAGCAGGCGGCGCTCTTCTACGCCCGCAGGGAGGCGGGCAGGGACACCAGCGATCTCACCGCGCCGCCGCCACCGCCGCCGCCACCCGCGCCTTCCTCTGCTGCTGGAGCCGAGGCGATACGGCAGGCGGAGAGGGAGGGTCTGGCCCTGGCTACGAGCAGCGGCAGCAACACCGGATACAAGGGCGTGTACTTCTACCCGAAGCAGAAAGGCAGCAAGAAGTACCAGCTGTCGGTGTGGGTTGGCGGCAGGCAAGTCTTCCTCGGCCTCTTCGCCACCGCCGAGGAGGCGGCGCTGGCGCGTGCGCGGCACCTATGGGAGACGACCGTCCGCCTGCTCGAGCCACAGCCGCAGCAAGCACCGCCGCAAGGCGCAGCAGGGCCGTCCGAGGCCAGCAGCTACGAGGAGGAGGACGGCTTCGACCCGGCGGACATTGCTGACGCCGTGGCTAACTCGCTGCTCTCCGACCCGCCGCCTTCCGCGAGCGAGCAGAGGGCGGCGAGGCGGCAGGCGTGCGCAGCGGAGCAGGCGGCGAGGGCGGAGGCGGCGGCGGCGGCGTGTGCTGCCCCGCCATGGGACGACGAGGTGGAGGTGGAGGCAGAGCAGGAGAGCGACAGCGAGGAGGAGTCGGAGATGGAGGTGGAGGCCGGCGCCGCAGCAAGGGCGGCTTCGGCAGCAGCAGAGGAGGAGGCCTTCCAGTGCGTCATTTGCTTGGACGACCTAAGCGCACACCCCGAGGCGCGCCTGCAGCCTCGCGACCCGAACGGCTGGGGCGCCACGCACTGCTGCAAGAGCCTCTTCCACTACCGTTGCCTGCACATTTGGCTCAACGACGACAGCGAGGTCGAGACAAGCCGCGGCATGGATCCAATCAACACGGCTTGCCCTGGCTGCCGAGGCTTCGTGTCGAAGTCGGCGTCGCGGATGCTACAATAGAGCGGCCGCACTATGTTGTGTGTCTGTGTGTCTGCGGGTCGCTGTGTCGGAAAAGGCTGTTGCCGACACCAACATTCGCGCAGTTGGATCCTACATCCTAGGCTGGATGTGGAGATCCACAGACGAGCCACGCTGTCCCGTCTCCTTTCGCGCTCCTCCGTCGTTCACGTTGATCGTTGTTTCGGAGCACACACTTGAAGAACTGAATCCGACTTGGAGTTTTGTCTTTGTTCCCCTTTTTTCGTGTTCCCGCCTCCGTCAATTTGCTGTTTTGACGCGCTCGCTTTCGGTTGGGTCTCTCCTGGCCGAGCTGGCCGCATTTTGTGCATTGTGCGTGCTTGGTCTCTCCTACCTCGCCGCTGTCAGTCAGTAAGTACAGAGTCAGTAGGTCTAGGTAGGTGCTCGCTTGGTCCTTCCTCCCTCCCTCCCACCCTTCCTTGCGACTTGAACGCTCGACAAAAGCAACGTGCGGCGGTTGGACGTTCATGACACCTGCGCTCGCTATCGCATTATCCCGACTATTTGCGGGCGGAGATTCCGTCCAGGCAAGGAACGAACGGACAAACACGAGCAGTTCACCACAGCGCCAAAGCGCGCCCGACATAGCGCGCGAATCCAGCCATGCTCCTCGACACAAAGCTCGCCAGCCTCCTCGCGATCCTATCCGCCGTCACCGCCACGCCGCAGTGCCCGCCCGCCGGCTGGGAGACGTGCTCGTCCGCGTGGCCTCCGCCAGCTGACGGCTACTGCTGCTCGGCCGCCGGCTGGCTCGGCAACACTGCAGCTCACTGCTCCAACATCAACGCCCTCGATGAGTGCTGCTCGCTGAACGACGAGGGCCGACTTACCTGCGTCACCGAGTGCGAGGAGCCGCCGGCCGTCTGCACAGGGGATGCCGCCATCGACGCCGTCCTCCTCGAGAGCAAGATTGGGTGCAAAATTGGCCTGATCGACTCCAACGAGATTTACAAGTGCGATCGCCCTTCCCCACCCACCACTCGCCGCCGCCTCTCCTCACCCTCCTCCTTCTATCCGTCACCATCGCTGCCTCCGCTGCCACCTCCCTTCTCGCCGCCCCGCGCTCTGCTTCCTCGCTGCCTCCTGCTGCCTCTGCCCTCTCCAGCCTCAGCTCCCTCCCATCGACAGCTACCCCATCTCCCTGTGCAGGTGGTCTGGCTTCTGCGACGCCCTCCGCTCCTTCAACGACCTTGAGAGCGACCGCCGGCTCTTCCTCGGCGAGGGCGACATGTCCACCGCCCTCGGCCTCTCCAACATCGCGGGGCTGCTCGCCCAGGCGATGTGGGAGAGCGGCGGCGAGGCGCCATTCACTGCCTGCGACGAGAACGACTACCCGCCCTCCTCGCCGACTGCGTCGTGCACGCAGCGCTCCGACGGCGAGCTCTACCACTCCCTCAACGACCAGCCGTGGGCGTGCTACGTCGATCCGCAGATGACCATGACGGCCGAGACGTGGGCGTCGTGGGCTCCCGGACCGCTCAAGTGCGAGCCAGGCACGGGCACCGAGAAGTGCTGCTGGTGGGGCCGCGGCGCCATCCAGACGACGGGCCCAAACAACTACGGCCTCCTGCAGCGCGAAGTCTTTTCCCAGGTGCCCTCGCTGAGCGGCATCGACCTCTGCACCAACCCTGAGGCCATCTGCCAGAACGACGACGCCAAGTGGCTCGGCGCGATCTTCTACTGGGCGAACAACGTGCAGGGGTACGGGCTGGAGGCCGAGGCGGCGACCTTTGACGAGTCCCTCCGAAAGTTCGTCGAGTCTGGCTTTAATCGGGCTGCGTCGGTCGTGGCGGGCGCCGACTTCGCGTCAGGCACGGGCGGCGTGGTCAACAACGGCTACTGGGGGGCCACGCCGGCCGAGAACGCTGGCCGCCTCTCCAACTTTGACTTCATCATCTCCGAGTTCCTCGCCGCCGGCATGACCATTGAGGGTGGCGGAGGCGGCGGCGGCGGCGGGGGTGCGACTTCGCCGCCGCCGCCTTCGCCGCCGCCGCCCTCGCCGAAGCCACCACCAGGCGGCGGCGGCGGCGGCGGCGGCGGCGGCGGCGGCGGCGGGACGCCGCCGCGGGTGGTGCAATACTTCTCCAGCTGGGGCATCTACCAGTACGGCAACCGCATCCCCTTCAAGCCCAGCGACCTCCACCTCGACAAGATCACGCACGTGCACTACGCCTTCTTCGACGTGACGAGCGGCTGCGCCGTCGCGTCGATGGACCCGTACGCCGACTTTGACGTCGTCTACCCCGAGGTGGGCATGACCTGGAGCTCGCCGCACAAGGGGAACGTCGGCGCGCTCCGGATTCTCCGCGACGAGCAGTACCCCGACCTGCACCTCGCCTTCTCGCTCGGCGGCTGGACGAAGAGCAAGTTCTTCTCCGGTTGCGCCGCCGACGCCGACAAGCGCGCCGCGCTCGTCGCCTCCGCCGTCGACCTCCTCACCGAGCACGACTTTGACGGCATCGACGTCGACTGGGAGTACCCGGTCTGCTGCGGCGAGTCGGACAACCAGGTGGACGGCAACGACTGGGCCAACTACGTGCTGCTGCTGCGCGAGCTGCGCGCGGCGATGGACGAGCGGTCGCCCTCGAAGCACAAGGAGCTCACCATCGCCATGGGGATGAACCCGCGCGTCTCTGGCGTCGCGCCGCGCGCCGAGCTTGGCGAGGTCCTCGACGCCATCAACCTCATGTCGTACGACTACAACGGCGCCTGGCTGCCCTTCGTCGCTCACAACGCGCCGCTCTTTGAGGACCCGGACGGCACCGCCGCCGGCGGCGCGCCCGAGTTCAACATCGACTGGGGCGTCCAGCTGTGGCTCGAGGACGTCGCGCCGAGCAAGCTTGTGCTCGGGCTGCCCGCGTACGGCCGCGGCTGGCTTGGCGCCAACCAGGAGTATGCACAGGCGCCGGGCGAGAACGGCGCGGGCAGCCCCGTCAGCGGCACGTACGAGGAGGGTCTCGTCTCGTACTACGACATCAAGGCAAACTACGACGGCAACCCCGCCTGGACGAAGGGGTGGAACGCGGCGAGCAAGGTACCATTCTACTACCGCTCCAGCCCGGCCTCGTTCGTCTCCTTTGACGACGAGCAGTCGATCGCCATCAAGGCGGCGTACGCAAAGGAGAAGGGTTTCGCCGGGATGATGTGGTGGGAGGCATCCGACGACAAGGACGCGGACCTGCTCTCCGCCGCGAACAGCGCGTGGGCCGCGGGGGGCGGAGGAGGCGGAGGCGGCGGCGGCGGCGGCGGCGGAGGAGGCGGAGGAGGCGGAGGAGGCGGTGGCGCGACCTCGCCACCTCCCTCGCCTCCCGGGCCGCCCTCGCCTCCGCCGCCGCCCTCGCCTCCTCCGCCGCCCTCGCCTCCGCCGCCGTCGCCCAAGCCGCCGACCGGCACTGTTACCGATCCTCCTCCACCGTCGCCGTCGCCACCCCCGCCACCTTCGCCACCACCGGGCAACGGCGGCGGGCAGTGCGTTGACATGCCGCTGACCGAAGGTTGGTCCTCGACCTCCTGCGCCGCGCTTGGCGCGTCGAGCTGCCCCGGGTGGCCCTTTGAAACGATGTGCGGCTACTGCGCCCACAGCATCATCGGCACCGCTTGCTGCCGGTGCGGTGGTGGGAGCGGTGGAGGCGGCGGCGGTGGAGGCGGCGGCGGTGGAGGCGGCGGCGGTGGAGGTGGCGGAGGTGCGACTTCCCCGTCGCCGTCGCCGCCCCCGCCGCCATCGCCATCGCCGCCGCCGGCGGGCACAGGGGGGCAGTGCGTGTCGACCGGATTTCATTCCGGCTATACCGACGCTTGGTGTGACCGCAACTGCAACTGGACGCCCTCCTTCTGCCCCGCTCAATACTGCACCCAGGACTGCCTCGGCGGGAGCGGCCGTCGCCGCCTCGCCGAATCCGCGCCCGCCCCCTGGAGCAGCAACGCGCGCGCCGCCGTCGCAGCCCCGCTGGCGCTCGCCGCCGTGGCTGGGCTCGCCGTCTACGGCCGGCGCCACCGGGCGAGCCAGGCGAGCAACCTTGCCGACATCGAGAGCTGCGCTGAAGAAGCGTGAACGGGTGAAATTGCCGTTCACTTGCCGTCGACTTGCTGTCGACCTCCTCTCCCGACGGCGCGATCTCTGGCTCGTCTTCCGTCGTGCGCGCTCAGACTCTCGTTGACTTGCTCTCCCACTGCTCTGTTCCCCGGCTGTCTCCGCCCCTACTTCCTCGCTAGATTAGTCTCCCATTTATCCGCTTGCGGAACGCGCTCGCACTGCGTTGTGCATACGCAGCCTGCTGCGACACTCGCAGCGCGCTGAAGCTGAGGGACCACTGTGTTGATATATGTGTCGATATGTTCAATCCCTCTACATCGGTACGCTCCGCCCTCCGGGAGGAGAGGTAGCGCAGCGCGGTGTAGGCCTTCACCGCCTCGACAGCAGCAGAGCATGCCGACATCCACACCGGACTGTGCGAAATACCGAATCCTAGATCGATGATGGCGGAAGGCAATTTCCGCCAGCGAGGCCAGCGAAGCCGCGTGCCAGCAAAGCAGGGACTTCCGAAGGTCAAACGGGGATTGGTTCGATCCATGCCTGGCTCGAAGGGGCCGCCGCCGCAAAAGGTCGTGTCTGGGGCGGAAAAGGGCAAGATGGGCGCGGTGCTGGCGTGGCTCGACGGTGGCGGATGGATCGACGCGACGCACGAGGGAGGCGACGTGGGCGGCGTCACGCTGCTGATGCTCTCCGCCAACAACGGCCGCGAGCGGGTGGTCGACCTGCTGTTGCGGTACGGCGCGGAGGTCGGCTTGCAGGACGGCGATGGCTGGACTGCGCTGGATTACGCCGCCCTCAACGGCCGCCCCAACGTCGTGCGCCGCTTACTCCGGGCGGGCGCACACACGGCGTTGCGCGCTGCGAACGCGCTGCAGATTGCCGAGGAGGAGGGCCACTCAGAGTGCGTCGAGGCCTTGAGGGCTTACCTTGGGGAGGTGGCTGGCCGGCGCAAGGTGACCACGGCAGAGGCGTCGGCGATCGGCACGGATGCGCTCGCAGGTCAGGCGTCAGCACGTGCCACGGCTTCGATCGGTGGCGCGGAAGCGGCCTCGATGGCTGGTTCGCCTTCACACGCGGTGGACGCCGGCAACGCGGAGACCCGAGCAGGGGCGGGCGGCGCTTCCTCGGGCGCAGCAGCGGCAGCTGCGGACGCGCCGCTGCTGGACCAGCGAGTCGTGCTCGGCGGACTCTCGGCCCGCCCCGAGCTGAACGGGCAGTCGGGCGTGGCGTGGAGCTTCGAGGGCGGGCGGTACGCTGTGGCGCTCGAGGGCGGCGGCAAGAACGTGCGGGTGCGGCCGGGCAATCTGTCGCCGGCTGCGGCGGCCGAGCAGGCGTCGAGCGATGGCGTGGCAGCTTCCGATGAGGTCGTGGCGGCGGCTGGGAGAGGTGACGAGGCGGCGGTGCTGGCGTGGCTGGACAGTGGCGGGCGGGTCAACGCGACGGAGGGAGGCGACGCAGGTGGGTTCACTTTGCTAATGCTCGCTGCCAACCGTGGCCACGAGCAGGTGGTGGACACGTTGCTGCGGCACGGCGCCGAGATCGACCAACGGACTAGCAACAGCTGGACCGCGCTGATGCTCGCCGCCGACAACCACCAGCCCGCCGTCGTGCGCCGTTTGCTGCGCGCTGGCGCAAACTCGACGGTGCGTCACCGGAATGGCTTCAATGCGCTGCAGTTCGCCAAGGAATGCGCTGATTGCGTGCGCGCCCTCGAGGACGCGACTGAGGCGGAGGCGGCGCGGCGTGGCGAGGCGCTGCTGGCGGAGATCGAGGCGGAGGAGGCGGCGAAGCAGCGCGCCAGGGTCAAGAAAGGCAAGAAGAAAAAGAAGGGCAAGGGCACGGCCCTGAGCGTCGCGCTTGGGCCGTCGCAGGAGCCCGAGGTGGTAGCGGCTGCGGCGGAGGCAGAGGCAGCGGCGGAGGCAGAGGCAGCGACGGAGGCAGCGACGGAGGCAGCGGTGGAGGCAGCGGTGGAGGCGGAGGCAGCGGCGGCCGCGTTGGCGGCGGCGGAGGAGGCGGAGCTGGCGGCGGCGCTCGAGGAGAGCGCGAGGATGGAGGAGGAGAGGCGGGCGGCGGAGGAGCGAGGGTCGCCCTCTTCGGCCGTGGCGCTGGCTGCGGGGGAGGAGGAGCCGCCGGACGAGTTCGGCTGCCCCATCACGACCGAGCTCATGAGCGACCCGGTGATGGCGGCCGACGGGCAGTCCTACGAGCGGTCGGCGATCGAGCGCTGGCTCGCGACCAAGTCGACGAGCCCGATGACAGGCGAGGCGCTCGAGTACACGCACACGTTCCCAAACCACTTGCTGCGCCGGCAAATTCGGGCGTGGCAAGAGGCGCATCCGGGACGGTAGGGGGTCGGACGGCTGGTCGCTCGCTCACTGACTGAGGAGTCATGGTGCGGGGAACGCTTGGTGATGTGGTCGTGATGTGAGGGGGGTGGGTTCGAGGCTGGGTGGGGTGGGTGGGGTGGGTTCACTGTCTGAGGGATTCCGAAACCGCAAGAATGGCAAAACGTATGAAATATGTGGGGAAATGCATGTTTTTGGTCAAGCCCTTATACCTCTTTAGTATTAGTTCTTTAGAAGTAGAGCTGAACAGTGTTGCTAGTGTTAACAGTAACAACAGAACAACAGTTGGGCTCCCCAACAACATTAGCTAATGTTAGGCCAGCTGAACAACAATAAGGAAGGCCTACCAGTGACCCACGACGATCTCCAGCGTCCAGTGCAGGTAATACCCGAAAATACCTGGAAATCCCCGGGTATTTTCGGGTTTTACCCGGGTTTTTTTGGCATTTTCTGCTTGCTGACCACTGAACAACAGTAACAACAGTAACAAACAGTAACAGCTTGGGCTGGGGGAGAACACTTGAACAACGTTGAGGATTTCAGCCAACAATAGTGCAACTGTTAGGCCCAAAGTTAACGTTTGACAGCTCTATTTAGAAGAGTAGAGGTCAGAACTTGTCAGTGTGTGAAGGAGATGTCAGAGCGCACACGAGACACGTACTATAAACCACGCCGACCTTCCGAACTGCTTCACATGTACATGTCCCGCCCAGTAAACACCCACCCAGACCCACCCTGTGCCTTGCACTACCACGGCCAGGCCCGTGTTATGCCGTATTGCCGACAGAAACCCATCGCGGCTCCACTGAGTCGAGTCTAGCCCACCGGCGCAGAGAGTGAGGCAAGATCGAGCCAAGCCCGACGCAGCCCTCGCGCGGACTCACGCCGCAGTAGCACAGGGAAGGGGCGGGAGGCGGCAATCGCACGAAGGGGGGGCCGGGCGGGGGGAGGTCCCGGTCCCGGTGCTGCCCTCCCCGCCTGGCTGCACTCGAGTCGCCGACACGACGAGAGCGCGCGGCGGCGGCCCTCTCCCCAGCTGCCTCGCCGCGCCAGAGAGCCGCTGGAGGAGGACTTCCCGCCCGC